GACCACACTTGGCACACAGACCCAACATGGCTAATTGTAAATAATGGCAGGATTTGGGAGTGAGTGACCTTGGCATATGGGAGTTGTGTTGTTGTTGTTGTTCATTCGTTCAGTCGCCTCCGACTCTTCGTGACCTCATGGACCAGCCCACGCCAGAGCTCCCTGTCGGCCGTCACCACCCCCAGCTCCTTCAAGGTCAGTCCAGTCACTTCAAGGATGCCATCCATCCATCTTGCCCTTGGTCGGCCCCTCTTCCTTTTGCCTTCCACTTTCCACAGCATCATTCCCTTCTCTAGGCTTTGCTGTCTCCTCATGATGTGGCCAAAGGACTTCAACTTTGTCTCTAGTCTCCTTCCCTCCAATGAGCAGTCGGGCTTTATTTCCTGGAGGATGGACTGGTTGGATCTTCTCGCAGTCCAAGGCACTCTCAGCACTTTCCTCCAACACCACAGTTCAAAAGCATCTCTCTTCCTTCGCTCAGCCTTCCCTAAGGTCCAGCTCTCACATCCGTAGGTGACTACAGGGAAGACCATGGCTTTGACTAGGCAATGGATCTTTGTTGCCAGTGTGATGTCTCTACTCTTTACTATTTTATCGAGACTGGACATTGCTCTCCTCCCAAGAAGGAAGCGTCTTCTGATTTCCTGGCCACAGTCTGCATCTGCAGTAATCTTTGCACCTAGAAATACAAAGTCTGTCACGGCCTCCACGGTTTCTCCCTCTATTTTCCAGTTGTCAATCATTCTTGTTGCCATAATCTTGGTTTTTTTTACGTTTAGCTGCAACCCGGCTTTTGCGCTTTCTTCTTTCACCTTGATTAGAAGGCTCCTCAGCTCCTCCTCGCTTTCGGCCATCAGAGTGGTGTCATCTGCATATCTGAGGTTGTTAATGTTTCTTCCAGCAATTTTCACCCCAGCTGTGCATTCATCCAGCCCCGCACATCCTCGCATGATGTGTTCTGCATACAAGTTAAAAAGGTTGGGTGAGAGGATGCAGCCTTGCCGTACGCCTTTCCCAATCTTGAACCAGTCTGTTGTTCCGTGGTCAGTTCTGACTGTTGCTACTTGGTCCTTGTACAGATTCCTCCGGAGAGAGACAAGGTGGCTTGGGATGCCCATCCCACTAAGAACTTGCCACAATTTATTATGATCCACACAGTCAAAGGCTTTAGAATAGTCAATGAAACAGAAGTAGATGTTTTTCTGAAACTCCCTGCCTTTCTCCATTATCCAGCGGATATTGGCAATCTGGTCTCTCATTCCTCTGCCTTTTCTAAACTCAGCTTGGGAGTTGTAGTTCACCCTTATCCAGAGAGCACTGAACCCAGTCGACTATAGATGTGGATCATACTTGGCACACACATCCAACATGGCCAACTGTGCATACAGGTCTGGTTTGGGGAGGACTGACCCAGAATTCTGGGAATTGTAGTTCACCTACATTGCTATGTATTTTCTAATGGGAGCATTCATAAACGAAACCAAAGACTTGCTTTTTCCTAATAAATAGTGTTATTAATTAACTAAATGATATTACTTCACACCCCAAAACAAACAAGGCCTTTCTCAAATAACCCAGGTACCCAAGCTAGTATAAATAAATGAGAATTAATAGAGAGAAAAACAAAGAGCTGGTGAGCAAATAGATGCATCTACTCACTATAGATTAATGCACTTGGATGCCACTTTATGGGATCCTGGGAGTTATAGTTCAGTAGGACTCTTTGACAGAGAAGAAGGCTCAATAAAGATTTTGTCAAACTACAACTTCCACAATTCCACACCCTTGAGCCAAGACAGTGAAAGTGGTGCCAAACTGTATTCATTCTGCAGTGTAGATGCACCTGATGAGTTACTTTGCAAAACTAACTTCCATCTTGCAAAACACAATCCGGTCATATGTGCTTCTCTCCATTGGTAACATGCGCCGGACATGAGAAAAATAGCTAAAAATAATTTTAAAAGATAGCACAATCACTTCCCTAAAGTGACGTGACCTAAACATGTACTTTTCAACAAGCAAGTTCCCCTCCCAGAAAAAGAGGAAAAGGAGATGTAGTTTGGGGTCGTTCAGTTTTGGTTGTGACTCAAGCTGTTTCTCAAGTACGTAATGCATTGCGGTGCATCATTCACACTGTGGAGTTAATGCAGTTTGGCTACCCTGTCTCCATGCTATAGCTTCATGGGATTTGTAGTTTTACAAGGTTCTTTAAGCTTCTCTGCCAAGTTGTGCAATTACCGTATATTCTGGCATATAAGACTACCTTTTAACCCAAGAAAATCTTCTCAAAAGTCAGGGGTCATCTTATATGCGGGAGTCGTCTTATACGCTGGGGTAGCCTTATGCATGGGAGTCGTCTTATATGCTGGAATACGCCGGGAGTCGTCTTATAGAGTGGGTGCTGAAACTTCCAATCCGGATTGGAGAATCTGTGGTTGCTGCCCGGAAGCTTCAGATGGTCCAGCGCTCGGCAGCCAGGTTGCTAACGGGAGCGGCACTCAGGGAGCACACCACTCCTCTGTTGAGCCAGCTCCACTGGCTGCCAATTTGCTACCGGGCACAATTCAAGGTGCTGGCTTTAGCCTATAAAGCCCTACACGGTTCCGGCCCCACTTACCTCTCCGAACGCATCTCCACCTATGAACCGGCGAGGACGTTAAGATCGTCCGGGGAGGCCCTGCTCTCGGTCCCGCCAGCATCACAAGTGCGGTTGGCGGGGACGAGAGACAGGGCCTTCTCGGTGGTGGCCCCTCGGCTATGGAATGCCCTACCAGCTGACATCAGGCAGGCCCCTTCGTTACTGGCGTTTCGGAGGAGGGTGAAGACATGGCTCTTTGAACAGGCGTTCGGTTAATCATGCAATCATAACTAACTCAGGAAGACGGCATACTGAACAAGGAATGGTAGAATGACTGTGAGAACGGGATCTGATTCTATTTGAGGCGTTGATGACTATATGTGTGTTGTCTGTGATTGTCTGTTTATATATTGTCAGTGTTTTATATTTTACTGTAAACCGCATTGAGTCGCCGTAAGGCTGATAAATGCGGTATACAAAAGGAGTAAATAAAAATAAATAAATATTGTGGGGGGAGCTCAAAAATGGCAGTGGCCGCATCCCTGCCATATGCAGCGACTGTATGAAAGCATTAAGGGCAACACTGTACAAGTATGGTAGAAGAAAATCCATTCATCAGGATTCGTGGACTTAATGCAGTCCCGATGGTGAGATGAAGGGGCGCCTCACCGGGAAGGTGTAAGTGAAGGGCGGAGCAAACTGCAGGCGTCCGGGGCACCCGGGGTATGGAAAAAAAGAGATAGAGTGGCTCTGGGCCCAGAAAAACACAACTCTTTTACCTGTCTGGCCCGCCCTTGTATCCTATTGCCATACCTCCTCCTCTGCCTCTCAGATCTCGCTCCTGAAGACTGCAGTGAAGTGGTGCAGGTGCGCAGATGTGAGATCCGAGAGGCAGAGAAGGAGGTACAGTAGGAAAATTACCATATTTAAATCAAATCTGCTTTAAAATTGTGTTGGAAGAGGGATAGTCTTATACGACGAGTATATCCCAATCTCTATATTTTATCTGGAAAAGTTGGGGGTCGTCTTATGCGCCCAGTCGTCTTATATGCCGGAATATACGGTAAATTATTTTTTTAATAAGGGAAATGCAATTGCATTATCTTTAGAGGCGCTCCAAGTGGCCAGCTACTGGTCTAAGGACATTTAATCAACTACCAAGCTTGCAAACTTTGTGTTTTGTTTGTTTGTTTGTTAAAAATGCAGTACAACTGTTTGGTTGAACCTGGCACGATAAATAAATATCTTTAGAGGAAAATAGGGCACAAATTATTATTATTATTATTATTATTATTATTATTATTATTATTATTATTATCTATATAAATAAAAATGTAATGTTTGTTTGTGGGATTAACAGAACTCAAAAACAACTGGACCAGTTGACACCAAATTTGGACAGAATACACATAACAGTGCAACGAGTGTCCATTACCAATAAACACACACACACACACACACACACACAAACACACACATACACACACACACAAAACCTCAGTGGAACAGACTTAAAAACCCCAAAAATACACCATATATACATATACACATACACTCATACACATACACGTATATATATATATGCACAAACACACACAAATATACACATATACACACATACATGCACACATACATATATACATATACATATCCACATACATACATATATACACATAAATATGCATATAGACAAGCACACACATATACACAATATGCATGTACACATATAAACATACAAATACACAAATATACACACACACATATATATACACGCATATATATATACGCAAACAAACACATATATACACACAAATATGCATATAGACAAGCACACACATATACACAATATGCATGTACACATATAAACATACAAATACACAAATATACACACACACATATATATATACGCAAACACACACATATATATGCAAACACACATATATACATATGCACATGCACACATACATATATACATATACATATCCACATACATACATATATACACACAAATATGCATATAGACAAGCACACACATATACGCAATATGCATGTACACATATAAACACACAAATAAATAAATATATACACACACACACATATATATACACACACACACACATATATATATATATATATATACACAAATACACACATATATACACAAATATATATACACACATACACACATATATACACATACAAAACACATATACACAGACTGGGCCACAGCAACGCATGGCAAGGGATGGCTAGTTATTATTATTATTATTAATAATAATAATAATAATTGCTTGTTTAATAGGAAAGCAGAGTATAAATAAATATTCAAGGTTGTGGGCCACTTTGGGCCCTGGCGTGGGGAACGTGGGTCGAAATCAACAACAACAACAGCAATAACAACGTTTCCTTCTCTCTTTTCCAGTGCATTTCAGCACCGGACATCTTTGCTCTCGTGGAGAAGAACTCCTTGAGCCCGGCCAACCTCACATCCACGGACATGGTGCCCTTTTCGGCTGCTTTGCTCTCCTACTTTGCGGATCCGGAGTCTGCTTGCAAAGCCAAAGCCGATGCCCTTTGGGTTGCCCGAGTCCGGGATTTCCAGTCTGGGTTTTCCGAGGGCAATGCCACCCGGTCGAAGGCGGAGGAGCTGATGGCGTCCGTCCAGCAGAATATCAAAAGCAGCGGTAAAGAAAAGGAGGTATGAAAGGACATTGGTCCAAGCTGGGCCGTAGCCAGAAAAAAATTTCGGGAGGGGTTGAAATTTTCAGGGGGGGGGGGGTTGAAAATTTCGCGGGGGGGGGGTTGAAACCTGCCTCCTAGCTCACACTGAAGCTAAGAGCACAGCAGGGGGCAGAGCAGCCTTCAATAGCCTGCAGCTCCGCCCTTGTCAACCACCTCCACCAAGTCTGGCCTCCTTAATGAGAGCATTCAACACACACACACCCAACTTGGTTGCTTATTTATTTATTTATTTATTTGCTTTATTTCTATACCGCGTTTCTCAACCTAATTAGGCGACTCAATGCGGTTTACACAATGTAAATTAACACAACAATAACAATTAAAACACATCATACACAATAACAAAATACACAATTAATCATTCATAATGCCTCGATCACAAAGCAAAATCCAGTCTCATAATCCTTGTGCCATTCCTATGTTCAATTTACCGTCATCCTATGTTCGATTGCGCTGATTAGCCAAACGCTTGCTCAAAGAGCCAGGTTTTAACCTTCTTTCGAAACGCCAGCAGCGAAGGGGCCTGTCTGATGTCAATGGGTAGGGCATTCCATAGCCGAGGGGCCACCACCGAGAAGGCCCTGTCTCTCGTCCCCGCCAACCGTGCCTGTGATGCAGGCGGGACCGAGAGCAGGGCCTCCCCGGAAGATCTTAGTGTCCGCGTCGGTTCATAGGTGGAGATGCGTTCGGAGAGGTAAGTGGGGCCGGAACCGTTTAGGGCTTTGTAGGCTAACGCCAGCACCTTGAATTGTGCCCGGTAGCATATTGGCAGCCAGTGGAGCTGGCTCAACAGAGGAGTGGTATGCTCCCTGAGTCCCGCTCCAGTTAGTAACATGGCTGCCGCGCGCTGAACCAGCTGAAGCTTCCGGGCCATCTTCAAGGGCAGCCCCACGTAGAGAGCGTTGCAGTAGTCAAGCCGGGATGTGACCAGAGCGTGTACCACCGTGGCCAAGTCAGACTTCCCGAGGTACGGGCGCAGCTGGCGCACGAGCCTGAGCTGTGCAAATGCTCCCCTGGTCACCGCTGAAACCTGGGGTTCCAGGCTCAACGATGAATCCAGGATCTCACCCAAGCTGCGAACCTGCGTCTTCAGGGGGAGTGTAACCCCGTCCAACACAGGCTGTAACCCTATTCCCTGTTCGGCCTTGCGACTGACCAGGAGTGCCTCTGTCTTGTCTGGATTCAATTTCAATTTGTTTGCCCTCATCCAGTCCGACACAGCGGCCAAGCACCGGTTCAGGACCTGAACAGCCTCCTTAGTAGTAGGTGGAAAGGAGTGACAGAGTTGGACGTCATCTGCGTACAGATAACACCGCACCCCGAAACTCCGGATGATCTCTCCCAACGGTTTCATGTAGATGTTAAATAACATGGGGGACAATATTGAGCCCTGCGGGACCCCACAAGTCAATGGTTGTGAGGTCGAGCAGTTGTCCCCCACATTGAACCCCCCCCCCCACTTGGTTGCTTCACTACTGTTCTGTCGCGCGATGGGCCTGTAAATAATTGTCTTTAGAACAGGATGTGCAACCTTTGCCCAGCGGGAAGCCAGGGGCCTAAAGAGAAGTTCTCAGAGGTTTCCACCACAAACAGTCTTTAGATGGCTTGAGAAGTACAACAAAGTCTTAATGAACAATCAAACAGAAACTTCTCTTGTCTTCAGTAAAGTTAAGCAAATGATTCCAAGCTTTTAGGCAACTGGTGAATTCCTAATCTTGCCCACAAAGGACAGGCAACTGTCTTCAATAACTTCTTCTTTAAAGAAAAATCCCCGTTTTAACTTCTCCCAGGCTGACTGTAATCTAACCCTTACTGATGTGGGCTCCACTACCGGGTCGAACTACGTCTCGAATAACTTCTTTACTTTAAAGGAAAACCCCCTTTTTAACTTCTCCCAGGCTGATTGTAATCTAACCCTTACTGATGTGGGCTCCGCTACCGGGTCGAACTGCGTCTCGAACATCGAGTGGACCTACCAGCAAGGCAGTAGATGTTCTCCAGCTGGTCTTTAGGGCTGTTTTCCTGGAAATTCTTTGGAGACTCTTAAGACCTTTCTCCCCCGGAAGGTCTTAAGGGTTGAAGCTTTTGTACAGGGGAAGCTTGCACACATCCTATACATAAGCTTACCTTGCTGAGACTAACTAAAAATGGCTCCCTTCCCTTCCCAATTGCCCTGAGCAAGGGGCGGGACCAAAACCCAACAATGATGGGCAGGTGACTTGCCCTATGACTGCAGCCAAAGGAAGCCACCTATCTGCAGAGTCCCTGAAACCTAGGACTGCAAGCAAACATTTAATACAAAGCAAATAAAGTTGGAGCTCCTGGTACAGCTCGTACCAGAACAACTACATCGGCTATTGCTGCAAGTCATGACAGTGTGAATAAATTGCTAATATTTGCTTGAGATAGTGCTTGCAGTTCTGGAGGGACTCTTGATTTTTTGCATCTCATAGACTTAGCAGCATGGGGATTGGGTTAACCAGTTAAAATTCATGAGTAAACCATTTTTTTAAAAAAAATCTGAAACATTTCGGGGGGGGGGGTTGAACCCCTAAACCCCCCCCCCCTCGCTACAGGCCTGGGTCCAAGTGTATCCTTGATCCAGAGCTTGGAAAGTTTGGATTGCTGAGTTTTCTGAGCTGTCTGGCCATGTTCCAGCAGCATCCTCTCCTGACGTTCTGTCTGCATCTGTGGCATCCTCAGAGGGTCTGTTGGAAGTGAAGCAAGTGAAGTGTGTGTGTGTATATCAGAATCCTTAGATGGTCTGTTGGAAGTGAAGCAAGTGAAGTGTGTGTGTGCATTTTACACACACACACACACACACACACACACACACACACAATATATGTATACAAACTTTGCAAACTTCAGGGCTCTTCATAGCTATTCCAGCTTGATAATTGCAACATTCACACTTATTTGAAACACTCAAGGGTTCTTTCTCCCTTCCTGGACATTATTCCACAGATATATTATATACCTCATTTGCTTCACTACCTCTATGCAGAGACCCTCACTGGTTGACTTTGCAGCTTCATAGCTATTCCAGCTTGATAATTGCAACATTCACACTTATTTGAAACACTCAAGGGTTCTTTCTCCCTTCCTGGACATTATTCCACAGATATATTATATACCTCATTTGCTTCACTACCTCTATGCAGAGACCCTCACTGGTTGACTTTGCAGCTTCATAGCTATTCCAGCTTGATAATTGCAACATTCACACTTATTTGAAACACTCAAGGGTTCTTTCTCCCTCCTGGACATTTTTCCACACTCCGCTTGCTTCACTCCCTCTATGCAGATACCCTCACTGATTGACTTTGCAATCTTCAGGGCTCTTCAATGCTATTCAAGCTTGCTAATTGCAACATTCACACTTATTTGAAACAGTCAGGGGTTCTTTTTCCCTTTCTGGACATTATTCCACAGATATATATACCTCACTTGCTTCACTACCTCTATGCAGAGACCCTCACTGGTTGACTTTGCAGCCTCATGGCTATTCCAGCTTGATAATTGCAACATTCACACTTATTTGAAACACTCAAGGGTTCTTTCTCCCTTCCTGGACATTATTCCATATGTATATATACCTCACTTGCTTCACGACCTCTATGTGGAGACCCTCACTGATTGACTTTTCAGCTTCATGGCTGTTCCAGCTTGATAATTGCAACATTCACACTTGTTTGAAACAGTCAGGGGTTCTTTCTCCCTCTCTGGACATTATTCCACAGGTGTATTTATATACTCCACTTGATTCACTACCTCTATGCGGAGACCCCCACTGATTGACTTTGCGGCTTCATGGCTACTGAATACCATTCAAGCTTGCTGATTGCAACATTCACACTTGCTTGAAACAGACAAGAATTCTTTCTCCCTCCATGGACATTATTCCATAGGGGTGTGTGTGTGTGTGTGTGTTTAATGTATATGTATATGTATACTGTGTGTATGTGTGTGTAATACACACACACACCTGTGGAATGATGTCCAGGGAGGGAGAAAGAACTCTTGTCAGTTTCAGCAAGTACAAATGTTGCAATTAGCAAGCTTGAATTAGCATTTCAGTAAGCCACGAAACTGCAAAGTCAATCAGTGAGGGTATCTGCATAGAGGCAGTGAAGCAAGCGGAGTGTACATATACATATGAAATAATGTCCAGGAGGGAGAAAGAACCCTTGCCTGATTCAAGCAAGTTCAAATGTTGCAATTAGCAAGCTTGAATTAGCATTTCAGTAAGCCACGAAACTGCAAAGTCAATCAGTGAGGGTATCTGCATAGAGGCAGTGAAGCAAGCGGAGTGTACATATACATATGAAATAATGTCCAGGAGGGAGAAAGAACCCTTGCCTGATTCAAGCAAGTTCAAATGTTGCAATTAGCAAGCTTGAATTAGCATTTCAGTAAGCTACGAAGCTGCAAAGTCAATCACTGAGGGTATCTGCATAGAGGTAGTGGAGCAAGAGGAGTGTATATATACATGTGGAATAATGTCCAGGAGGGAGAAAGAACTCTTGTCTGTTTCAAGCAAGTACAAATGTTGCAATTAGCAAGCTTGAATAGCATTTCAGTAAGCCACGAAACTGCAAAGTCAATCAGTGAGGGTATCTGTATAGAGGCAGTGAAGCAAGCGGAGTGTACATATACATATGAAATAATGTCCAGGAGGGAGAAAGAACCCTTGCCTGATTCAAGCAAGTTCAAATGTTGCAATTAGCAAGCTTGAATTAGCATTTCAGTAAGCTATGAAGCTGCAAAGTCAATCACTGAGGGTATCTGCATAGAGGTAGTGGAGCAAGAGGAGTGTATATATACATGTGGAATAATGTCCAGGAGGGAGAAAGAACTCTTGTCTGTTTCAAGCAAGTACAAATGTTGCAATTAGCAAGCTTGAATTAGCATTTCAGTAAGCCACGAAACTGCAAAGTCAATCAGTGAGGGTATCTGCATAGAGGCAGTGAAGCAAGCGGAGTGTACATATACATATGAAATAATGTCCAGGAGGGAGAAAGAACCCTTGCCTGATTCAAGCAAGTTCAAATGTCGCAATTAGCAAGCTTGAATTAGCATTTCAGTAAGCTACGAAGCTGCAAAGTCAATCACTGAGGGTATCTGCATAGAGGTAGTGGAGCAAGAGGAGTGTATATATACATGTGGAATAATGTCCAGGAGGGAGAAAGAACTCTTGTCTGTTTCAAGCAAGTACAAATGTTGCAATTAGCAAGCTTGAATAGCATTGCCCTGAAGAGTGCAAAGTCAGTCCGTGACGGTATCTGTATAGAAGTAGTGAAGCAAGTGGAGTATATATGGAATAATATGGAACCCTTGCATGTTTCAAGCAAGTGTGAATGTTGCAATTTGCAAGCTTGAATAGCATTGAAGAGCCCTGAAGATTGCAAAGTCAATCAATGAGGGTATTTTCATAGAGATAGTGATTTTTTTTTCTTAGATGGCTTGTTTTGCATAGAGAAGGCTGGGAGATATGTTTTTCCAACTGGCCCTTCCACACTATGTATTTATAACACAGTAATACTGCAATGCTTGCATCCCTTAAAATCTTGGGATTTCCTGTTTGCTGAAGCCATAAAAGATCCCTGGGTGAAAATCCTGACTCTCTCTATTACCACAAACTACAAATCCCAGCATTCCACATGACCCCATAATTGCAATATTAGCATTGCTGCAAGAAAGTATGTCTTATATGGAAAGTGACAAGTCTTAAAGATGTAAGCTAAGCAGGGTCAGCCATGGTGAGGATTTGGATGGGAAACCATCGTGAGTGTGGCTCAGAGGAAGGATGCTTTCCCACAAGCCGAATCATGTGCTTTCCCCGATAGACCACAAATGAGCTGTCATTGGTATGTTAGAAAGCATTGCACAAAAAAGGGGAAATTCCACCCTGTGTCATTGATGCTTTCATTGCAGCATTGTGACGCCATATTTCCGTCCAACACCCTTACACATACCCAACTTCCCCCAATTTCCGAACTCCCTGGAAATGAACAAGGTTTTTGGAAATAGCATGACCCTTTCTAGTAAGATAGGGTAATGCTATTTTACTAAATGATATTTTTCACTCTTTAAATATGGGAAAAACAACTTTCCTGCTGCATCTACATTGTAGAATGAATCCAGTTTGGCCTCATTAACTGGCATGGCACAATGCAATCATCATCATCATCATCATCATACAACCTCCTCCTCCATGATGACATGATGGCAACAGTCTTGGACAGCAATGGCTCCCACAGCAACCCATTTAAGGTGGAATCAGGCGTCAAACAGGGATGTGTTATTGCCCCAACTCTATTCTCCATCTTCATCGCTATGATACTTCACCTTGTTGATGGGAAGCTTCCCACCGGAGTGGAAATCATCTCTCGGACAGATGGCAAGCTGTTCAACCTCAGCAGACTGAAAGCCAAAACCAAGGTTACAACATCTGTTATAGAATTCCAATATGCTGATGACAATGTCATCTATGCACATTCAGAAGATCTACATGCCACTCTAAGCACCTTCGCAGAAGCATACAAGAAGCTCGGCCTGTCATTGAACATTGAGAAAACCAAAGTGCTGTTCCAGCGGTCACCAGCCAACCCCTCCCCAATGCCAGAGATACAGCTTAATGGTGTAACATTAGAAAATGTGGACCATTTCCGCTCCCTTGGCAGCCACCTCTCCACAAAAGTCAACATTCACACTGAAATACAACACCGCCTGAGCTCTGTGAGTGCAGCTTTTTTTTTTAATGAAGCAGAGAGTGTTTGAGGACCGGGACATCCGTAGGGAGACCAAGGGACTTGTTTACAAAGCTATTGTCCTCCCAACCCTGCTGTATGCCTGTGAAACGTCACATGCAACTCCTGGAATGATTCCATCAGCGTTGCCTCTGGAAAATCCTGCAAATCTCTTGGGAAGACAAGCAGACAAACATCAGCATGCTGGAAGAAGCACAGACCACCAGTACTGAAGCGTTCCACCATCAACTCCGCTGGAATGGCCATGTTGTCCGGATGCCCGACCACCGTCTCCCAAAGCAGTTGCTCTACTCCGAACTCAAGAACAGAAAATGGAATGTTGGAGGACAGGAAAAGAGATAAAGTGGGGCTCAAAGCCAACCTTAAAAACTCTGGCATAGGCACTGAGAACTGGGAAGCCCTTGAGCGCTCCAGCTGGAGGTCAGCTGTGACCAGCAGTGCAGCAGAATTTGAAGAGGCACAAATGGAGGGCGAAAGAGAGAAACGTGCCAACGCGCATCAAGCCAACTCCGACCGAGACCGCCTTCCACCTGGAAACCAATGTCCTCATTGTGGGAGAAGATGCAGATCAAGAATAATGCTCTACAGTCACCTAAAGGTAAAGGTAGTCCCCTGACATTAAGTCCAGTCATGTCTGACTCCGGGGTGTGGTGCTCATCTCCATTTCTAAGCCGAAGAACCAGCGTTGTCCGTAGACACCTCCAAGGTCATGTGGCCGGCATGACTGCATGGAGCACCGTTACCTTCCCGCCAGAGCGGTACCTATTGATCTATTCACATTTGCATGTTTTCAAACACCTACGGACCCACTAAAATACTGATCTTGGAAGACTATCCTACTCGGCCAATGAGAGTTTGCCTAAGTAAGTAAGTACAACAACAACAACAAAACTTTCTTTATATTCTGCCCTATCTCCCCAATGCAACAACAACAACACTTTATCAATGGGACTCAGGGTGGATCACAGTACACATACATGGCAATCATTCAATGCCGTTTGGACAGACAGGACCGAACAGACAGAAAGGAGGAACACAGGGGTGTGGTGTCACTCCATCCTCTATGACAAAGAGCCATCAGGACTTCCTCCTTTTTTGCGGTCGCAGGCATTTTGTGGTCTTTTATGGAGTCGTAAAATACTTCCCCCGCTTTTTAGTGCTACCTAATTTCTCTACTTACAGCTCTAAGCTGTTTTTGAACTGCTTAGGTAAACAGTGAGCTGGGCTGACAGTCGGGTGCTCACCCTGACCCAGGCTTCGAACTGGTAACCTTTCAGTTGGTAGATCGTATTCCTGCTGATGGTGTTTTACCAGCTGTGCTAAAGCCCAGCACAATGTTTTGGGTTCCCGGGGTTTGTAGTTTTACAGGCTTCCTCTGCCAAGGAGTGCTGGTGCCTCATCAAACTACAACTCCCAGGATTTCATAGGCTGGATCTACATTGCCATATCAGGCAATATGGAACTACAATTCTGTTCCTGGTCCGAAAGTGTTATTTCGTGTTTAATTGTGCGGTCCTTAAATCAGTTGAAAATCAATTGAAAAACTATAGCAAAATGTATTGTCGAATGTATTGTATTGTCAAAGGCTTTCATGGCTGGAATCACTGGGTTGTTGTAGATTTGTTGGCTTTCTAATGTCTGTTTGCACAACAGATTTAATAGTGTCTGAATATCTGTTTTCCTCTGCATCTCAGCTTTGTGCTGGAGTGGACCAGATCCTTGGGAACAGTGCACGGATCTCCAGCCATGTGACATCAGACCCATCAGGCCGGGTGCTGGTGGCCATGGCCTTCCATGCGCTGGACGGTGGCTGCTTCCATGCGCTCCCTCCTGAGAACTACTTTGTGGAGTTCATCTTCCAGCGCTACAGCAATGGGACGCACAACCTCACGCTGGCAGGTAAGTACCAAAAGATATGGGTTTGGAGAGGGTATTGACCAAGTTCTAGAGAACATGGACTGAGAATGGTGCCCGGTTTTGGTTTGCCACAGGTCTGACGGAACTCATGAAGGAGCTGCAGGTCGGCTCGGTAGCTGCGCATGGACGCCATGACCATGATGGACACAGCCATGATGACCATGATCATGATGGACACAGCCATGATGGCCACAGCCATGATGACCATGGACATGATGGCCACAATCACGGTGACCACGATCATGATGGCCATAACCATGGTGACCACGACCATGAAGGCCACAATCATGGTGACCACCATAACCACACACACGAAGGAGATGTTCATGATCATTCAGAAGGTCATGCTCATGGAGATCATGGAGACCACCATCATGGCAATGAAACGGAGCACCACCATGGAGATGAAATGGACCACCATCATGGCAATGAAACAGAGCACCACCACAGCCATGAAATGGACCACCATCATGGCAATGAAACGGATCATCACCACGCCCATGATGAAGAAGCAGACCACCATGTAAACAAAACAGAAAGTCCTATTGTCCGTCGGAGGAGAAGTCTACCTTCCGCTGGAGACAGTCAAGTCTGGGACACGGTGAGCAACATTAGTTGGCATTTATGATCACAGTAATGAATCTGTTCCTGATTTGTGTACATTATCACTACATATCCATAAACATGGCAATACTGTAGGGCTGGGATCCCCAAGATCCTCCAAGGTCCTTTAGAGACCCTTTAGAGTTAGGGTATCAGTCTGTAATGACTTTGAAGGCACACAACCACAACAAGCCTTATCAACGTGACTCTCTCATTGGCCAGAAGCAGGACCATGTGTGTTTTTTTGCACTACAAATAAGATATGTGCAGTGTACATAGGAATTTGTTTGTGCTTTTTTCAAACTATAGTCGTTTATGTGGATCTTTGATAGAAATATGTATATTTGTTGAATTTTTGCAATTTTTTTAATATAAATATCTTTATTGCAAAATTTTTCAATACACATTTAAAACATCAGATGGTGGGGGGCAAAGTGAGGGGGGGGGAAAGGTATGGTAGGGCTGGTCGGGTAGGAAGGAGTCAGGTGATGGGTAGTGGGTATGAGTAGGGTTGGCCGTGAGGGAAAGGGGGAGAGGGTAAATGGGGAGGGGAATATAAAATACAATGACTTCCAGGTTGAACAGACAAGTAATCAATTCTTATGTACAAAAAATATTGACTGATAAAACATCAGCTCTCATTCTATACAAGTTTCAGTCTCATTACATCTTCGAGTATTCTTATTTCTTCTCATCAATGTACTCCATAAAGTTACTCCAATCTGTGCTCTTTTTTTTGCTTCCATGGGCTCTTAGTCTCTGAGTTAGTAGGTCCATGTTCATCACATCATAAGCTTTTAACGACCATTGTTCTGTTGTAGGAACTTCTCTGGATTTCCAGAGTCTGGCCAGTTGGATTCTGGCCGCTGTGTTGTTGTTGTTCATTCATTCAGTCGTCTCCGACTCTTCGTGACCTCATGGACCAGCCTACGCCAGAGCTCCCTGTCGGCCGTTACCACCCCCAGCTCCCTCAAGGTCAGTCCAGTCACTTCAAGGATGCCATCCATCCATCTTGCCCTTGGTCGGCCCCTCTTCCTGTTGCCTTCCACTTTCCCCAGCATAATTGTCTTCTCTAGGCTTTCTGTCTCCTCATGATGTGGCCAAAGTACTTCAACTTTGTCTCTAGTATCTTTCCCTCCAGTGAGCAGTCGGGCTTTATTTCCTGGAGGATGGACTGGTTGGATCTTCTCGCAGTCCAAGGCACTCTCAGCACTTTCCTAAAACACCACAGCTCAAAAGCATCTATCTTCCTTCGCTCAGCCTTCCCTAAGGTCCAGCTCTCACATCCGTAGGTTACTACAGGGAATACCATGGCTTTGACTATGTGGATCTTTGTTGCCAGTCTGATGTCTCTACTCTTTACTATTTTATCGAGATTGGACATTGCTCTCCTCCCAAGAAGTAAGCGGCTTTGTGATTGTAGGTGAACGCTCTCCTCCCAAGAAGTAAGTGTCTTCTGATTTCCTGGCTGCAGTCTACATCTGCAATAATCTTTGCACCTAGAAATACAAAGTCTGTTACTGCCTCCACGTTTTCTCTCCCTATTTGCCAATTATCAATCAATCTGGTTGGCATAATCTTGTTTTTTTTTTAAATGTTTAACTGCAACCCAGCTTTTGCACTTTCTTCTTTCACCTTTGTTAGAAGACTCCTCAGCTTCTCCTCGCTTTTGGCCATCAAAGTGGTGTCATCTGCATATCTGAGGTTGTTAATGTTTCTTCCAGCAATTTACCCCAGCTTTGCATTCATCAAGCCCCGCACATCGCATGATGTGTTCTGCATACAAGTTAAAAAGGTTGGGTGAGAGTATGCAGCCTTGCCGTACGCCTTTCCCAATCTTGAACCAGTCTGTTGTTCTGTGGTCAGTTCTGACTGTTGCTACTTGGTCCTTGTACAGATTCCTCAGGAGAGAGGGAAGGTGGCTTGGGATGCCCATCCCACCAAGAACTTGCCACAATTTATTATGATCCACACAGTCAAAGGCTTTAGAGTAGTCAATGAAGCAGAAGTAGATGTTTTTCTGAAACTCCCTGCCTTTCTCCATTATCCAGCGGATATTGGCAATCTGGTCTCTGGTTCCTCTGCCTTTTCTAAACCCAGCTTGAACATCTGGCAACTCTCGCTCCATGTATTCCTGGAGTCTTCCTTGCACATTTTAATTTCTCTGACCAAATCCTCTCCCATTCCTTAAAGTTAATTGGACGGCCTAGGTCCTTAGCCCACTTCACCATGTTTTCTTTAACTTGTTCTTTTTCTGTTTCCCACCTCAGTAACACTTGGTATATTTTCCGTATGTGCTTTCCCTCCGAATTTATGATTCTGTCCCAAAAAGATGTTTCTGTTTCAAAACCATTTTTTTGATCTAAATTATAACTTTCTCTTATCTGATGATATTGAAATGTTTGTGTTTTTAAAATTGTGTTGTAACCTGCCTCAATATACAAGGAGAGTTGGGTAAGATCTATAATAATAATAATAATAATAATAATAATAATAATAATAATAATAATAATGGTGACAGCAGGATGGCAGAGAAACAACTGGAAAAGCTGACACGATATGAGGATTTAAAAATCAAACTGCAAAGACTCTGGCACAAGCCAGTCAAGGTGGTCCCAGTGGTGATCGGCACACTGGGTGCAGCGCCTAAGACCTTGGCCTGCACTTAAACACAATCAGCGCTGACAAAATTACCATCTTCCAGCTGCAAAAGGCCACCTTACTGGGATCTACACGCATTATTCGCCGATACATCACACAGTCCTAGACACTTGGGAAATGTCCGATGTATGATCCAATACAACAGCCAGCAGTGTGTCTGCTGTGGACTCATCTTGTTGTGCTTCAAATAATAATAATCATCATCATACCACTTCTCCTTGCAGCTCAAGGCAGGTTACAACACTATTATTGGTTTGTTGTAGGTTTTTTCGGGCTATATGGCCATGTTCTAGAGGCATTCTCTCCTGACGTTTCGCCTGCATCTATGGCAAGCATCCTCAGAGGTTGTGAGGTCTGTTGGAAGTAGGAAAATCTATATAAATAAAAATGTAATGTTAGTTCGTGCTACCATCAGAACATGGTACACGGTAGACTCCTGCGGAAGTGAGAGGATCCCTCTTGTCCTTTGCTGAACGGAGCATTTGTTGGATTTTCTTGGTGGATCTGTAGCTGTGGACAAGTCTACATAGGGATCACCAAACGCAGCGCCAAACACACCTAGCTCCAGCAGACAAGAGTCCTTTGTCCCACCCTGGTCATTCCACAGATATACAAACCCTTTTTCCTTGTTTCAACAGACCTCACTACCTCTGAGGATGCTTGCCATAGATGCAGGCAAAACGTCAGGAGAGAATGCCTCTAAAACATGGCCATATAGCCCGAAAAAACCTACAGCAAACCAGTTTCCAGCCATGAAAGCCTTCGACATTATTATTATTATTATTATCTGGACCCCCAACAGTTGGCAGGAACATGATCCGTCCCTAGGCTTAAAGTGTTTGAAGACCCTTGTTTGTGGGAATCTCTGTGGACTGCAATAGTCCCCCAGTAACACTTCACTAAGCAGCAGCAGCTGCTGCAAGCAATAGGGATCTGTTCTCCCATTGATCGGGATGCAGCAGAAGGACGTTCCCTCTGCAAAAGCTACTGGAGACCCTTCCTCCTCAAACTAGAGATCGCAGGAAGCAGTCGCTGCAAACATCAAATGGCTGTGTCTCAATTGGCAGGAGAACAGATCTCTGTCACTCACAGCAGCTGCTGCAAAAGAAGTCAGGATGCCTCTACAGCCTGATTCCCTTTTAACTGCATTGACTCAATGCTATGGAATCCAGGGAGTTGTAGTTTGAACACGCACTCATTGCCAGAGAAGGCTAAAGACCTTGCAAAACTACAACTCCCATGGTTCTTTTAGCAGGCAACAAGAATATTTTCAGACAGAAGCCATGCAAATAGTAAAGGTGAAGTATCCCATATTTGACACTACAAAGCACTCCAAAATTCAGAATTGGCCAAGAGTGTGACACTTTTGCTTTCGGATGGTTTGGTGCGCTCGCACTCTTTGTTTCATGCCCAGAATCACTTAAAAGTATTGTGTATAAGTTTTGCGTGCAGACTTGGGTTCCATCTCCATGATGCAAGTATTTGCAAAATCTAAGAAATTACAAAATACAGAAAACTTGTGGCCTTTTTGAGCCCCTCCAGCGTGATTACGGTATATGGCTCTGTAATCGTTATGGGGTCTTATTGCATTTCTCACGTGGATGTGCTCCATTCCAGGTCTGCCTCAGCCCGGATGATCTGCTGGATATCTATGGGATTGATGCCAACGCAGGGGTCTCCCGCTCCGAATTGGCCCGCCTGAGCCCGGCTTTGGTGCAAATGAGGCTCAGCCAGGCCTGCTCCGTCTCCCAAAAAGCTGCTCTTGATGGCCGGCTCACCACTGCTGAGAGTAAGGCACACAAAGATGCCTTCAGGCATCTCCATGGGGCCATTCGGTCCTCAAGGGTCTATCTACACTGCAGAATGAATGCAATTTGACACCACATTATTGTTGTTGTTGTTGTTATGTTTATTTATACCTTGTTTTTTCTCTCCGCAAGGAGACCCAAATATGTATATAGGATGGATAGATGAATGGATATGTAGATAGATAGATAGATAGATAGATAGATAGATAGATAGATAGAGATAGATAGATATGTAAATAGACAGACAGATAGATATGTTTTGATTGATAGATATGTAGATAGATAGATAGATAGATAGATAGATAGATAGATAGATAGATAGATGGATTTATAGATGGATGGATTGATAGAAAATAGGTATGTAAATAGATAGATTGATAGATAAATAAATAGATAATTAGATTGATAGATATGTAGATGGATGGATGGATGGATAGACAGACAAACAGACAGATATGTTGATTGATTGATAGATAAATAGATTGATAGATAGATAGATATGTGTGTGGATAGATAGATATGTGTGTAGATAGATAGATAGATAGATAGATAGATAGATAGATAGATAGATAGATAGATAGATTTATAGATGGATGGATGGATTGAAAAATAGGTATGTAGATAGATTGATAGATAGATAGATAGATAGATAGATAGATAGATAATTAGATTGATAGATATGTAGATAGACGGATAGATTGATAGATATGTAGATAGATGGATGGATGGATAGATAGATAGACAGACAAATAGATATGTAGATAGATAGATAGATAGATAGATAGATAGATAGATGGATTTATAGATGGATGGATTGATAGAAAATAGGTATGTAAATAGATAGATTGATAGATAAATAAATAAATAGATAATTAGATTGATAGATATGTAGATGGATGGATGGATGGATGGATAGACAGACAAACAGACAGATATGTTGATTGATTGATAGATAAATAGATTGATAGATAGATAGATATGTGTGTGGATAGATAGACAGGTAGGTAGATAGAGATAGATAGATAGATAGATAGATAGATAGATAGATAGATAGATAGATAGATAGACAGACAGACATGGATAGATGATAGATAGAAAATGATAGATAGATGATAGGTGCCCCCGGTGGCGCAGTGGGTTAAAGCACTGAGCTGCTGAGCTTGTTGACCGAAAGGTCGCAGGTTCGATTCCGGGGAGCGGCGTGAGCTTCCGCTGTCAGCACTAGCTTCTGCCAACCTAGCAGTTCGAAAACATGCAAATGTGAGTAGATCAATAGGTACCGCTCCGGTGGGAAGGTAACAGCGTTCCATGCAGTCATGCCGGCCACATGACCTTGGAGGCTCTACGGACAACGCTGGCTCTTTGGCTTAGAAATGGAGATGAGCACCACACCCCAGAGTCAGACATGACTGGACTTAATGTCAGGGGACTACCTTTACCTTTAGATAGATAGATAGGATAGATAGATAGATAGATAGATAGATAGATAGATAGATAGATAGATAAATTAGATAGAGATAAGATAGACGGATAGATTGATAGATTGATAGATATGTAGATAGATGGGTGGATGGATAGATAGATAGACAGACAAATAGATATGTAGATAGATAGATAGATGATAGATAGATAGATATGTACATAGATAGATAGATAGACAAATAGATATGTAGATAGATAGATAGATAGATAGATAGATAGATTGATTGATAGATAGATAGATAGATAGATAGATAGATAGATAGATAGATATGTAAATAGACAGACAGACAGATAGATAGATGAAAGAAGCCTGAGGTTGGAAGGAGCCCCCAAAGGCCATTCAGCCCAACCTAATCCAATCCCTCCTGACAGATGGCCATCTAGCCTTATGCCTCAAAAACCTCCAGGGAAAGAGATTCCATGGTTTAACCAGGCAGCATATTCCAGTATCAGTTAGATCTTCCTAATGTTTAGTTGGAATGACTTTTCCAGAAATGTGAATCCATGGCCGCATTGCATCTTAGATATTCAGAGCAGCAGAAAAATATACCTGCGCATTCTTCCTCAATGTGACTTCCTTTTAGATTTATGAATATGACTCATAAGTCAACCTTCTCTAAGTGAAACAATCCCAGTGTACAGATCTTTGGCCCCTTTGATGCCCCTTCTATCCGTCGTGTCCATCTCCTCCTTGGGTTGTTTTGCCCAGAACTGGATGCAGGGGTGTTATCATTCCAGGTGAAAAGGTCTAGCCCAGTGTTTCTCAACCTGGGGGTCGGGACCCCCATGGGGGTCGCGAGGGGGTGTCAGAGGGGTCACCAAAGACCATCAGAAAACATAGTATTTTCTGTTGGTCATGGGGGTTCTGTGTGGAAAGTTTGGTCCAATTCTATCAGTGGGGTTCAGAATGCTATTTCATTGTGGGTGAACTTATGAATCCCAACAACTACAACTCCCAAAGGGCAAGGTCTATTTTCTCCAAACTCTACTAGTGTTCACATTTGGGCATATTGAGTATTTGTGCCAAGTTTGATCCAGATCCACCATTGCTTGAGTCCACAGTGTTCTCTGGAAGTAGGTGAACTACAACTCCAAAAAACTCAAGGTCAATGTCCACCAGAGCTTCCCAGTATTTTCTCTTGGTCATGGGAATTCTGTGTGCCAAGTTTGATTCAATTCCATCATTGGTGGAGTTCAGAAGGCTCTTTGATTTTAGTTGAGCTATAAATCCCAGCAACTCCAGCATTACCAAATGACAAAATCAATCACCCCCAACCTCACCAGTATTCAAATTTGGGCGTATTGGGTATTTGTGTCAAATTTGTTCCAGTGACTGAAAATACATCCTGCATATAAGATTACAAATTTATTTATTTATTTATTTATTTACTTTGCTTCTATACCGCTGTATCTCAAGCCCGAAGGCGACTCACAGCGGTTCACAAACAGTAGAAACAGTAGAAACAGCAGTGGTTCCATACAACATATAACAATTGACTTAACACATTATCCATAAATTACCAATAAGCAATTACAATGCACAATTATTACAAAAAACAACCGTACCCAATCTTCTCATCATCCAAGCGTAGTCCAGGTTCGTCGTCCATTGTTCCATTCCTATGTTCCATTACCAGATTGCACTAAATTACTCAAACGCCTGCACAAACATCCAGGTCTTCACCTTTTTGCGGAATACCATTAGAGATGGTGCTAGTCTAATGTCCGTAGGAAGGGCGTTCCACAGCCGAGGAGCCACCACCGAGAAGGCCCTATCTATCGTCCCCGCCAGCCGAGCTTGAGAAGCAGGCGGGATCGAGAGCAGGGTCTCCCCGGAAGATCTCAAAGTCCTGGTGGGTTCATAGGCAGAGATGCGGTTAGATAGGTAGCTTGGGCCGGAACCGTTTAGGGCTTTAAAGGCCAACGCCAGCACTTTGAATTCAGCCCGGTAGCAGATCGGTAGCCAGTGGAGTTGGCGCAACAGGGGGGTTGTATGCTCCCTGCGCTCCGCTCCTGTTAAAATCATGGCTGCCGAGCGTTGGACTAGTTGGAGCTTCCGAGCTGTCTTCAAAGGCAACCCCACGTAGAGAGCGTTGCAGTAGTCTAAACGGGATGTAACCAGAGCGTGGACTACCGTGGCCAAGTCAGACACAATTCATAACAGTAGCAAAATTACAGTTGTGAAGTAGCAACGAAAATAACATTATGGTTGGGGGTCACCACAACATGAGGACCTGTACTAAGGGGTTGCGGCATTAGGAAGGTTGAGAAGCACTGGTCTGGCCAAAGCAAAAGAGAGAGGGACTAGGACTTCTTTTGACCTTGATGTTCTCCCCAGCGGTGCACTGACCCACCCTTCTTCCCTGCAGAGTACCTCTACGGCTCCCTGGCCACCTTGGTGATCTGCTTGTGCGCGCTCTTTGGCATTGTGGTCCTTCTCTGCACTGCCTGCATCAGCACCTACCAGTACGTCATCCAGTTCTTCGTCAGCCTGGCCGTGGGGTCGCTGACCGGAGATGCCATGCTGCACCTCATCCCAACGGTCAGTGCACACAGGGACCTGGGTCGCGTGCCCTCGGAAAACATTGATTTGGAAAAATGGGAATATTTATGGAAAAGGGATAGATAGATAGATAGATAGATAGATAGATAGATAGATAGATAGATAGGGAGATAGATATATCGTTAAGTAGAATGATAGATATGTAGAGAAATAGATATGTAGATAGATAGATGATAGATAGATAGATAGATAGATAGATAGATAGATAGATGCTAGATAGATAGTTGATAGATGTTACATTGATGGAGAGAGAGAGAGACTAGACTAGATGATAGATAGGTAGCTCGATAGATGGATAGATGTGACATACATCAATGGTACTAGATAGATAGATGTGGCATACATAAATAGCATTAGATAAACACACAGAGAGAGTGATGGGCATTGATGGCTATACATAAATAGATAGATAGAAAAATATGTCGGCAGATAGATAGATAGATAGATAGATAGATAGATAGATAGATAGATAGATAGACAGACATGTAAGATAGATAGATAGATAGATAGATAGATAGATAGATAGATAGATAGATAGATAGATAGATAGATAGATAGATAGATAGATAGGTTAGATAGATAGGTGATAGATAGATAGATAGATAGATAGATAGATAGATAGATAGATAGGATAGATAGATAGATAGATAGATAGATAGATAGATAGATAGATAGATAGATAGATAGATAGATATGTGTACACACAGAGAGATAGGTAGATATGTAGATAGATAATTAGTTAGATAGCTAGAAATATATATAGAGAGAGACAGATAGCTGGAGAGATAGAAAGATATGTAGACAGAGAGATAGATAGATAGATAGATAGATAGATAGATAGATAGATAGACTGTTAGATAGATAGAAAGACATGTTGACACAGAGAGAGCACAATGTAGATAGATAAATAGATAGATAGAAAGAAAGATATGTAAGAGAGAAAGCTGGAGTGATAGATAGATAGATAGATAGATAGATAGATAGATAGATAGATAGATAGATAGATAGATAGATAGATAGATAGATCTGTAGTGAGAGAGAGATAGCTGGAGAGATAGATATGTAGACAAAGATAGATAGATAGATAGATAGATAGATAGATAGATAGATAGATATGTAGACAGAGAGATAGATAGAAATGTATGTAGACAGACGGACAGACAGATAGATAGAAGATATGTAGACAGACAGACAAACAGATAGATAGATAGAGAGAGAGAGAGAGAGATATGTAGACAGAGAGATAGAAATATATGTAGATGATAGATAGATAGATAGATAGATAGATATGTAGATAGATAGAAATATATGTAGATAGATATGTAGATAGATAGATGATAGATAGATAGATAGATAGATAGATAGATAGATAGATAGATATGTAGATAGATAGATAGATATGTAGATAGATAGATAGATA